TAAACTCGTGTATAGCACAAGCTAGAATACTAGTTGTTTCAGTAGCTATCCACGCATCAATTCTTCTTGACAATGCCGGCAACTTGAAAAAGTTGAGATAAGGAAAGAACTGAGCTGCGTGATGAAACTCTTGAGGTCTATGTCTGATACAAACAGGATAAGGACCCAATAATTCTGCAAAAAATCACAGTCTTGAATGGTTGTATTACCAAGTACCAAGGTCATCTTCAAGAATGCCAACTCTCCTTGTCGAGAGCTGCCTAAATAAGACATATATTCGAGAAAGCGTGCTCTATCTTGGTCTATCCAAGTGAAGAAAGTTCTCCATTGAGCAGTCCATTTCAAGAAGTATCTGTCCAGCCAAAGTTCTATGTCATGATCAAGTGTAAACTTTATCCTCGGATCCACATAGAAATAATACAAAGAAAAGCATCACGCAAATTACCATGGAACAAAATGCACCTTTTTTTTTCCCTTCTTTAATCAGATGCAAAGTCCAGCTTAAATGCCCATTTTCTTTTTCTCTATCATTTTCAACATTCTATAGAATAAAGAACACAGTCATTTGAAGAAAAATTCCTAAAAGCATGTTGTAATTCTTTAGTCCCCAATAAGTTTGAAGTTAAGAGGACAATTTTGTGATTGAGGAGTAATTAACCCCATGATCAGTCTGGATAGAAAGAAAACAAGGAAAACTAAGAAAGACGAGAACAAGAAAAATAAAAGAGACAAGAATCCTTGCGCCTGAGAATGTGGTTTCCTTGACTAGGAAAAAGTATAGGAATAAAGTTAAGTGCTAAAAGGGTATCGCATGTTTTCATCTAATATTGGGAGGTTTGAACCAAAGGCCTCCTACTTACAATTCCATAATTTTTGCATCATTTTTCATTTTGTTTTGGGTTTGTCTAACGGGTGTCCATTGCATACTCGTTAAAATATATTTCAGAAGTCATATTTTTAAAAATGTAACATTAATTAGGGAAAATATATAAATATAAGGGAGGGTAATAATTGTTACTATGTATATATACATGATAGGTTAGGTGAATTTTAAATATGTTAACGATATGGGCACCTGTTAAAAAAATCCGTTTGTTCTTTTTATAAAATCATTGCTACCGCACTTATTAACAAAAATTTCCTACCATAAGAAAGCACGAAAGTTGTAATTTGTGGCTTAAAAGTAAAGCAATCAATTTTAGTTAGTATTGATGAATCATAGGTTATAAAGAAGATTAGAAATTATTTATGCCACTGAAATTACTTCCCAGATTACAGTATCCATAATTTTTCTGCAAATTGAAGTTCGACAAAGACTACAAGCCTCATTGCCTCCACAATTGTTGTCTAGAAACGGTCAAGAGAAGCATCTATACTAATCTTTTCATTATCTCATTAGGATTCTATTCATATCCAACCAATTTAGATCAGAAAGGTGGATTTCAATGATACGTAGTTTTACTAGGGAATTAAAAAAAAATGTAATTTTACTAGGGAATTAAAATTATACGGCTATTTACTCGATTCACATGTGGTGCATGCTAGCTTGATCCCCGTTAAAAATCTTGATGCATTTCGAAATTCTAGCTGATACTTCTATTTTCTTGAATCTCAATTTTAAGGCTGATTATTTGTTCAATCATACTTTTGTGATAGAACAAAAAAAATTCCAATTCCTACTTTAATTTTCTGGTAGATGTACTAAAAAAAAATTAGGTTTAAAGGTCTGGAAATCTGAAAGAAATGAAGGGCCTGTTTGGAACCGAGTTTTTTGGCCAAGTTTTTTAGCTACTAATTTTTTAACAACTTTAGCTACAGGAATCCAAAAAAATATCTAATAGATTGAAAACTTTCTCTTTTCTTCTTCTTTTTCCCCCACCCCTATCCACCACACCTTCATCGCTGGCCACCCCTCCGCCGCTGTTTCCGACACCGGCCTACCCTTTTTGTTTTTCCTTCTCCCTCTCCCCCTCCCTCTCCCTGGCCACCCCTCCCGCTTCCTTAGCTGCGATCTGGTCGAACGACCGGATTGGGCAAAAGGGGAGGGGAGTAGGAAAGGGGAGGAGAATGGAAGAGGGAGATGGAGAAGAGGGGGAGAGAAAAAGCAAAAAAAAAATTTGTAGGTGCCATGGCTGCTGGTTCTCTGCTTCGGGAGGGAGAGGGAGATGGTGAAGGGGAGTAAGGGGGAGAGGGGAGCAAAGAGGGAGAAGAGGGGAAGAGAAAAGGGGAAAAAATTTTGGGGAGAGGGGCTGCTGGTTTGTCTGGTACCGCGAGCGAAGAGGGAGGGGGAAGGAAGGAAGAAGAAGAAGAAGAAGAAGAGAGGAAAGAAAAGGAAAAGGAAAGAAAAAGAAAAAGAAAAAGAAAGAAAAGAAAAAAAATGGTAGGGCCATGGCTGCTGGGAACTGGGAAGGCAGAGGTAACGGGGGAGGGAAGGGGGAGGAAGAAGAAGAAGAAGAGAGAAAAGAAAAGAAAAAGGAAAGAAAGAAAAAAAAAAGAAAAAAAAATTTTCACCTTACAAAAACTTCTATAAAATTTTTTCAAAAACTTCTACAGTGCACTACAGTAAAGTTTTAGACAAACTCCCAAAAAACTCAGGTTCCAAAGAGGTCTGAAAAGGTGTAAAAATTTAAGGTTAAGATCGTAAATTTATACTTAAGTGCACTTTTGTGCCCTTTATGCTTTACCTTAATATAATTTGAGCCTTTTTTTAACATATACGATATACCCCCTTATCTTTCCCAAGCAAACAACATTACACAAAAAAAAATATATAAATTCATTTTTTTTAACGTAACACACTAGTAAACTACAGAGAAATACAATTACTGATATTAATCATTTGTTAATGTAGACTGATGAGATAAAATCTCTATTTTAATCGCCTTGTTAACTTAATCATTTCCCAATCAGAACTATAAGCATAGATTGTACACTCTTTTTTTTTTTATTATTCTTTTATCTAAATCTATTTCTAAAATTGTTCATCACACTATAATCCCAACAAATTTCCATCTTTTAATCTCCAAGAATTTTTTTCTGCACATAGATGTCTCTTCTGTATCTAAACTTTACTCCTACGAATGTACTTCAAAGGTGAGAACTATTCTAGAATTCTGATTAATTTCTCTAGTCATGGTTGCCTAATCCATTTTCTAGACAAGCTCCTAACGATCATTTTACTCATGATTAAATTAAGCCTTGTTTGAATTGTGATTTTTTGTAAAAAATTTTTTATATTTTTCATGAACATATTTTTTAATCATTTTTTTATCTTATATGTATCAAATCAAATCATCATTATGTTACATTTTTCTGTAAAAACTATGAAAAGTAGCAATCTACCCTTCTCTCTTCAAAAAGAAAAAGTCCCAGTGCTAGTTAGTTAGATATAACAGGGAGATATAAACTATTTTCTCTAGAGAGAGAAAAATCAGTTTGGACAGGAGTGCATGTGTCAGCAGATGAATGGGTTTACTAAACAATGCCACGGAGACATAGGTCAATGTGCGGCCTGACGACAACCTCGGTTTGACTCGATGTCCGGAGTTCCCACGAACCTTATATAACTAACTTTGTTCTCAAATTTACACCACCTTAACAACTTTCATCTTTTCCATCCCATGCTGGACGTCCTTTCTTCTTCATTTCTCTAAAAATTTCTCAAAAAAATTAGAAAATATATGCTTAATGTATTAAATTTTTTGTGGGGTGGAAAATTTTGTTCCTTCAGTGTTTTTTCAGCCATGCAATTTGGGCTAAGGGTGAAGAAATTTGATCAGGGCTATTTTTTTTGGTGCTCGAGATTTGTTTGTTAGGGAAGAAAAAGAAAAATCATCGAGCTCTTGAGGAGGATTTGGAATTGTTTTCACTTTGCGGCAGCAGCAACGTAATTTTGCGGAAGATATAGAACAATGTTGCAGGACATAATTCACCATCAAGAACAGCTTCCCCTTGTAATAATCTCTCAGACTCTGAAAAGCCCTTTCTCTCTTTATCATGTCTACGATGAGCTGCAACATGATTAAATTTTTACTGGGATTTGATCGTGCATGCAGTTTCCTCTTCTTATTTATTGTGGATAGACGTTGTTATTGTTCTACATGTGATATATAGAAGAGTCACTCGTGCATCCATGGGAACTTTTAAATCTGATCCTCAGGGGTTCTGGTAATGAATCTGATTTAAATGATTGAAGTGTGAAAAAGTTTCAATAGCTTTGATTTCTCTTCAAATGGTTACTTCTTTTTTTTACACAATTAATGACTCTGCAATCTATTCAACGCACAAGGTTGCAGGATGTTGTTCTGTAGTTCTTTCATTTCTTTAATCTTCTCTCTTTTCACTTTTTGATGTAGATTTCCTTTCTCAATTAGACATAATCATCTTTTCCATTACTTTCACTTTGAATCTTGATCCTTTAGCTATCAATGGAAAGTTGAGGCTCTTTCTGTCGTGCCAAATGGAATATATTAGCTTACTTTTAGCTACACCTGTTCACATTTTCAAACGCACTTCGCAACTATGGACCTTGGTTCTACTGTTCTAGTTCTTCTGATGTTGAACTTACACAAGCATCAAATTCAAAAGGGCATATATATATATATGCAGCTCATGATCCTTTTCTGCAACTTAATAGTGAGTCAATAAAGTTTGCATTCTCAAATCTTCTTTGAGAAGATGTTTTCAGTCTTGCATTCCAAGTTTGCTCAGCAAATTGTCATTTTCCTAAAGCACTTCGTCTAATGCTTGTCATGATCCATCTTAATGGCAACTTCCGTTATCTTTTTGGATTTTGATGGAATATAGCTTTTTTGGTACACTCACTATTGCTGAAGGTTTCTAGTTTTGACACTTTAATTTAGTTAGACTGAATATAGAATTTATTGGCAGCACTGCACATGCACGACACAGGAGACTATTAGTGCCTTGAGGTTCCTTTTGTTTCCCCAGATTTGACAGTTTCTCTATTTTGCACCAAGTTCAAGTGCCACCAGCTTCCCTCTTTACCATTGCCACTAAACATCTGTTTTCATGGTATAACAGTCCCCACAGCTAGGTCACATGGAGTATAAAGTCCACCTACATCTTGGTGTTTTGCAAGACATTGATCACCAAGAAGTTCCTCCTCCTTTCAAGAATCTGTCTTTGCTTGATGAAATTGAGGGGCAAAACTTAATGCTTGAATTAATTGTAAGAAGAATGCCGTGTTAAAGTCGATGAATTAATTGTTGTTTCTCTTGTGCAGGAAGAAATTTCAAGCCCCATCAATGCTCAGATTTTCGACTTTTGTGAGTCTGAATTATTTCCAGAGACTCTACAAAATTCTGAAGTTGCTTCCAACTCAAACTGCTGCTATGAAGAGCACTCTTCCTATTCTACAAATCTTTCCCTTACTCCTGACATGAACAGATACGCTAACAACTTACTAGTTAAAGATGAACCACCCGAGACTGCCACCACAACTCATGCCGTGACCTCCACCATGACCACAACCACAACTAACAACAACAGTAATCTATCTGTAATCTTTGACTCCACAGATGATATTGAAAATGACATCTCTGTTTCCATAGACTTCAGTAATTCTACAGCATATAACATTCCTCAGTACGTCCATAACCAACTAGACCAGTTCGATTACTCTTCCTTGAATGCTCGAAGTTCAGTGACAGACGTGGCTGATGGATCACTTGCTCAGTATCCTGGAGAACCCCCTGCTGTCCCACTTATGGCGCCTCCGATGCCTCCTGTTTATGAAGAGGAATGCTTGTCTGCCATGCCACCTTACATGCGCTTGAGTACTTCTTCGCCTTCTTGTTCTCTACTTGATCCTACTATTGGACCATACCTGCCAGGGAATCTCAATGCTGCATTAGCAGCAGAAAATCCAGGAATTTTCTCTGGTGGTTGCCTTTTCCTTGGCACTGAATTGCCACCTCAGGAATTAGAATTCCAAGGAGAAAATGGTGGAATTTTTTGCCCAGATGCCATGCCCCGAGTTTATAACTGCAGCACTGAGCTTCAGGTAATCTTCTTACATAAACATCCTACATATTGAAGAAATTGGTAAGTACGTACTTGACTGTTAATTCTCCTCCCCAATTCATGGGATACAAGAAGATTTACTATTACTACTTTCACATGATACATATCGATGTTATTTCTTTCTGAGCGCCAAAGAGTGATTTAACTGTAATTTGCATTCACCGATCATACTCCTTTTACGAAGCAATCACTGATCAAATTCCTTTTACTAGGCAATTAGTAATGAGAGTCAACAGTTTGTTAATGGAGCTGGAAATTCTACTCCCTTGGCATCAGAGATATCAAATCTAGATGATCCAACTTTCAAGGTGGGCAAGCTCACTGTTGAAGAAAGGAGAGAAAAGATACATCGGTATATGAAGAAGAGAAATGAAAGGAACTTCAGCAAGAAAATCAAGGTGCATACAATCACATTTAACAATATGCATGTAACTTTTTTTTTTGTCATCAATCAAGAGATTCGGATTATGCATCCTTCCTTGTCAATAGGGGAGAGTCTTCGTAGTTGAGTTCTCATATGTCAGCTTCTGCTGCATCCTCAGCGTTATTACATATACAACTGCAGAAGGTATCCGTTAAATAGGCACCATCACCTTCTTTGCTATTAATTCATGCAGCCATATGTAGAAGATTCATTTGTCTGCTAATATAACGAACACCCCGTCTACAAAAATATATATGTCCACCAACTTTCTTTTGGAGCATACTGAATTTCATGCCTGAATAATATGTGGTGTACTAATATTGAAAGCCAATGTGCAGTATGCATGCCGCAAAACACTGGCAGACAGCAGGCCTCGTGTTAGGGGAAGGTTTGCAAAAAATGATGAGCTGGAGATGAATAGAACTGCTTGTAGCATTAGCAACCAAGAAGAGGACACAGATGAGGATGTGAGTTTAAATTTTCTCTTCACCTATCATCACTGACATGAACACCATCATGAACAATCAAGAGATGTGATCGTCCTTCCTTTACCTAATCCACCAGCTTCTGTCTCCTTTTTTCCAATCATCAGATCCCAAAATGCCTGTTCACAGATTATTTTTACCCCTTTCATTGTCATATAAACTGGAATGTATGCTTCATTATGCCTAACAAAAGTTTCATTTTTCGGCTTATAGGTGGTCGTGAAAGATGAAGATGATATGGTTGATTCCTCAGATATTTTTGCACATATCAGTGGCGTGAACTCTTTCAAATGCAATCCTCTCCATCTTGGAGTTGAACAGCTTTAACTTTGTGCAGCCTTCCTTTCAACAATTTTGCAGAGGCCTTTCTTTCATCAGCAGGAGTCATTAATCCTAAGATAGAGATAGAAGATGAACATATTGGGTCCATATGGTTAGTATATCACTAAGTCATAACTACTACATAGTATCAAATAACAGAGAGGAGTTTTTGTATATATATATACATATATTACAAGTCATCAGTCCTACGCAAATCTCAAGCTAATCATTTGCGGGAACTACAAGTTTAACAATATGTTATCTTTGTAATCAATTGATACATGTTGTAGCACACAAGCATCGTGCATGTTGACAGTCATTTTCATTTGTTGAAAATCGAGATCAGAGTTGTATAAAGATTCATACAGCAATATAATGTTCTAGTTTTTTTTTTTTTTTTTGAAAGTTAAATATTTCCGTCTATGCATCTCTGGAGTCCTGATTCCCAACCACTCCATTCACTGATATCTGATAGAATTTGACAAGAATACATATCTCTGGGCCAAAGTATGCCTAAATTGTAAGGACATTTCTGCTACATGCCTTGAGGTCAGCAGCAGCAATGAACCTTCTTAGTGCATTTTAAATCATTGCAAGGCAAATAGATAAAGAACATACCAAGAGTTGGACTATAAACTTATTCAAGGACAAAAAAACTCTGAATTGACTTTTCAATAGAATACTACAGTACGGTGTTACTTTTTTCAAACAACTATTTATATCAAACCCTGCAATCCAAAAGGAAATATTTCTAGCTCAGGTCTTTTGCTTTCTGGATTGGGCTAGTGTTACTGAATAATGATTAGGTTCCACAGGACTATCACAAGGATTGGCCACCTGGGTCACAAAGTTCAGCACCAATTGGCCATTTCTCCTTCAACTGTCCCTTCCATAGTTACTCTACCTTCTCTTAGTCAGCCCTATTTGCCCATCCTGCTTTATTTTCTAGAAATGATGTGAACTGGACATAGATGATTTGTTGCAAGGTTTTGAATAGGTAACTCAGCATTTAGATCACGTTTAAATCCAAAACAAAAGCATCATCCTTCTAAACAATGGAGTCAAATTTCATAACCAAATTGCAGCAACTTCTTTTTCAACACCATGTTGGGTTGTCCTTTTTTTCTTTTGTATCTGCTGAAATTTCTTTCTGATTGTCTTCCATTCTTGCCAAACGAGAGGAACTGGAATGTTACAGAATGTTTTGGAAATATTGCAGCATGCCCCTTAATACCTAAACCTTAAACACAATCAGGGCTTCACAATTCACATACGGGTTAAAATCCTTTCTCTAGAGTTCAACTTAGGAATTCTTATAAAACAGCAGAAATAGAAAAGGATGCAACTTCCAACCGGCTAGAGCCATTTGCTTAGAGGCATTTCAGTTTAAAATGAAGATTATTTGAAAAGTTTTTTAGAATAATACTATAGCATTTTTTGTTATTTGCATCATGCGATGCAAATAAAATAAAAAAGAAACGAGTCAGAAAGATGAAAAAAGTGAATGAGAAACGTATTAACGATGCGAGCAGAAAATAGATATCCAAACAACGAATTGGTTAACAAAACAAATGCTTCATTAACATATACAAATTGACAGAAATTGCTCAAGGATAGGATACGTTATTTGGCTGATAGCGTCGAATTTATGCTTTATAAACGCTATATGTGTAAATCATGCATTAATCAAAGCTTAAAATCACAACTCATTTTGGTTGGAAAAAAAAAAAAAAGAATCCAGGTATTTGAGCCTTTGATCTACTCTTTCTTTTGTGCCAGAACGAACTAAGGCTGTTAGATTAGACCAGACTTTTCTTTTGTGCCAGATTTAGTGCTGGAATCATGAATCAAGAAAGCTACCTATGATTAGTCTACTTAATTACTTGTCAAAAGACTCAAAGCTAATATCATTAGAAAATTATTGTCCCTTAAACTTAAAAAAGGCCCTGGTCCTGGTCAAAATCAAATGTTGGTTGCATTCAAGAAATGCGCTTTTTCAAATCCCAGATTTTATGGCTAAAGAAAATGACATTTTCACAAAAGAAAGCGCGTATTATCTTTATATTGACAAGATTAAAGTAGCTTAATCAAAAAGTTACCTCAGGCTGATCAAAAGCGTTACTCCACGTAAAATGGTGCTGCAGAATTTAGTTTAGTTGAGTTTAGTCTTCTCTGGAATGATTTCAAAGCCTAATCCGAGCCCGTGATATTGAAAATTCTTTAAGAGGTAGGGATATTTGTCTGACTAATCATATAATACAAATGAAATTGTTTGACTTTATGTAACAAAACAACAAAGATTTATGTTCATTTTTTTCTTGGGGTTGTTGCTTAGACAGCAAAATCAGGAAACAAATGTCTGTCCCAACCAATCAAATGTTAAAGTAAAATTCAAGCATTCAGCCGATGGAGACTTGAATTGTCCAAATCCAACACTGCTGGGATCCCAGAATTGAAGATTTGAAAACTTTTGAATCTATGAAACAGTCACCACTAACCCAATAAATTGGTGCACTGAAATGGTAAGTGAATTAGGTATAAAATAGGTGCATTCATAAGTGTCTATTTGACCATGGTAATTTAATAAGTTGGTGTACTCAAATGATAATTTAATAGGAAGAAAAAATGTATATATAATTGACACCCGTCGGAGAAAATTATATTTATTATATATATATAAAAAAAGATGGATTAAGCTCACGTACATGGAAAAAATGTACGTATCAGCGACCAATGCTACCTGTGCAAGTATTGAAATTCAATTTTAAATTGAAATTAGACTGCACTGGTGCACCTAACTTATGCAAAAATTATTAAGTAAACACACATTTTCAGGGGCTGAGTCCTGTGGTTATCGTGTTCGAGGGGATGGGGCCTCTCCTTTCTGGTCGGAGTGGGATTAGTCGGGTCTCGTAAGGATTGACTCGGACATCCACTCCGTCAGCAAAAAAAACACACACACACACCACACACATTTAATTTTCAACTTTAAATTTCCAAAAAACTAACATGAAAATTTCTCTTAGTGCTTCCGTTAGACAGACCCTTCATCGAAAATTACTACTAGTAAACACATGGTATAGAAAAAGGCAGAAGTATAAAAATGAGGCACCTAAGGAACTTGGAAAGCATTTAAGGATTGACCCGGACACCCACACCCTTCATCGAAAATTACTACTAGTAAACACGTGGTATAGAAAAAGGCAGAAGGATAAAAATGAGGCACCTGAGGAACTTGAAAAGCATTTAAGGATTTACCCGGATACCCACACCCTTCATCGAAAATTAAGCATCTAAGAGAAACAGACAATGAGCTTCTTAAATTTGAAATGGTTATACAGTGAGTGGATGCAAGGATGGGACTCAAATCACACAAAGTCAATGGATTATTTGAAAGATTAATGAGCTTCACATGCTGAGTTTCAGAGAAAAATTTGGTCCACCGAGTTACTGAAAATGACATGTTTCAGCATTTTGGGCTAATTGAACCGTCACATGATGACTTTCAACTGAGCAGATCACTGAAGATCTGTTCATGGACCAGGGCATCAACAAGAAGATGATTTTAGTCAACTGGTCATGAATTCTTCCGCCTTGGCTAAAGCAGTAAGTTCATCATCACTCCCATAAATTGTGGAAAAATAACTATTAGTGAAAATATACCATAAATTAATTTGCAACCAACCAACTCACTTAGTTAAATTAGCAATAATAGTTCTTTCTTTTTTTTTTTCTTTTTTTGTTAATTAAATGGAAGATGAAAGTTGAACTTGGTCGTGTATTTGGAAAAATCCCCCACTATCGAGAATCCAAGACTTATTCTCTCATTAATGGCCGATTCGTGTGGACCTCTAATAGTGACCGAAAGATAGTAGTTTATATCCATCGAAATAACCTATTAAAAATAATGGTAGGCCATGATTCCAATGATGCTATAGACTTCTACATCTTGTTGACTTTTAAAAGAAAAAAAACAAAAGAAATAAATTACATTAGGTGTTGTCGCATTTTTGAAGTCACTTCACTTCGATCGCTTTCATTTGCATCTTTCAAACACATCATTTTATTTTTTTCCAACAAACGTTCAAACACATCATTTTATGGTTCATTGTATTTCTAAAGAAAATCCCCTTTCTTCGAAGAAATAAAACTTCAAGAGAACACATTAATATATACTACAATCAGAAAATTGTAGTTTTGATAACAAATGCTTGGACAAAAGCAAATTTAGTCATAAATGTTTCAATTTTCAAATACATTTAGTCCAATTAATTGATTTTAGCAAATTATGATCGAAATTAGTCCAATTAATTATTATCAAAATTAGTCCAATTAATTGATTTTAGCAATTTCCAAGCACATTTAGTCCAATTAATTGATTATCGAAATTTGATCACAACAAAAATTAGAAAAAAGGAAAAAATATTGGTGGCCATAATTTGCAATTATAGAGAACTAATTAGTCGCAAGCTAAGTAATTAGTCTTTACTTTTTAGCTACACGACTATTCTGTATGTGAGTAATTAGTACCCTGTAATTACAGATGATGAGTTATAAACATTTTTTTCTTTTTTTTAATTAATTTTCAAAATTTAGCTGCCTACATGATCAAATTCCGATAACAATTTGTTAAAACCAGTTGGACTAAATGTACTTAAAAATTAAAACATTTAACATTGAATTTGCTTTTGTTCAAACTTCAAGGACCAAAACTGCCAATACTCCAAATATTTAGTATTAAGACTGCAAATTTTTCACACTATATTGCTTTAGATCAAATTCAAAAAAAAAATAAAAAAAAGAAAGCTCTATGCATATCTTAGACGTTACAAATTTCTTCATTTATTACTTCAAATTCAAATTTGTATTGCCTTCTCCAAGAAAAAACAAAATTCAAACAATTGTTTCAAAAAAGTACCACAAAAAAACGTGTCAGAACAGCTGACTGTGCATGACCAGGATTTGTTTGCACTTGGAATGATAGAGGTGGGAGTAACATACAGGACGTATTATTGGACTCAAATATTTATTGCAACCTATGCCATACATACATATGATTTCAAATATCTCGTGCATTCCCGCCGCACATACATACATGTAGGGTATTATTGGACTCAAATATTTATTGCAACCTACACATGTGATTTCAAATATCTCGTGCATTCCCGCCGCACAGAACAATTAAAAACAGTCGGTCAAAAGAAAAAGAACATGACAGCTTTAACTCTCTATTACTTGTGTGCTCCATAAATAAATTAATTACCACCCCCCCCTCCCCAAAAAACATTACACCCCACATATTATTATTACTATTATTATTATTGTCCTTGATTCTCCCAACATCATCCCCTGTACCAAATCTATCCATACATAAAATGTGGCTGCTGTTAATACCCCAAGCCACACAAGTCTATTTTGGATTGGAGCTTTTTGAAAAAAAAAAAAAATTACTGTAGAAAAAGCTTGTTATGAACGTGGTGGTGATGTATATAAGGTAAAAAGTGATTGAAAATTGTGTAAAAAGAATATCCACGAGAAAGATGCAATTCAAACAGGTTATTCTTAGGGCAATTTTTTGACAAAATATGAAATTTGGGCTTAAAAAGGAGCAGTTTTGTCGTTTTAAGAACTACACAGTATTAGTATATCATTTGAAATAAGGCATCTACTATTGGTGGAAAAGGACATTTTTGGCATCCCCATTTCTCAGTGTTTTTTCCTCCTTTATTGAAAACGCTATTTGAAGGTCAACCTCAGCTTTTTGATGGAGTATTAAAATAGGGCACTAATAAAGAGCAAAAAAGAAAATAAGATAATGAATAGGAATTTTTTTTTTTGTCAGCAACGATACATTTGTATAACCTACTCTATTCTAATCTAAAGGGAGGGAAGCCCAAGGAGACTGTGATAGAGGGCTAGTGGATATAGAGACCCAACTAGATCAAATGAGTGTTATAACATAATGCTTAAATTTTTTTCGCTGCAAGTAAGGTTTGAACCCTCACTTACAATTCAAGAAGGGATTTAAGCCCGTCTCTGGTGGTCACTGAGCCAAGTGGTTTAATGAAGAGAGATATGCAATATGTAGAAATCTATTGAGAGATCACATGCATCAGAAATGGTATCCGGGTAAAGGAAAGAAAAAATCAGAGAGTCAGCCTATTATGTCTTTTCTGGGGTCCTATTTTTTGTGTTAAACCTTTCCTCTGTGTCTGTTTTCATTCGTTTGGGCTCTCTGAAGGATGGCTCCTTGTTTTGCGCTTTGGTGATTTCCTCAGAGGCCTTAGTTGTGTGCACGAAAGAGTGCAGTTGCTATCATGCTCACCAGCTCATGTCACGTAATACAATTCCCATATCTTTCCTCCCACTTTCTCCACTTGAAGAAGATGCAGAGTAGCACGCTCCCCTCTCTCCCTAAGGAAAATTTGGAGCTCCTTCGGATTAGAGCTGTCTAGTTTCTGTAGAAAAATAAATTATAGAAATCTGATGATGTGATATTAGCAGTAATTGAAAAATATGCCAAGAAAAAATATTTTACATTTTTATCAAAAAAAAAAAAAAGCAATTCGATCGGCCTTACACCACTTGAACTTTACGTGACAATAAATTTTATGTTTGTCTAACGAGTGTTCAATGGACGCTGTCAAAAGAGGTGCAGGTGTTAGTTTTTTGTGAAAGTGAAATTAAATAAGAAATGCATTTAACTCTAAGGTAAGCAATAGAGGCGAGTTTAAGCCTTTATATACTAATTTAGGTGTACATTGAGTATATTAACTAAAGCCCACTAAACACGAGTTTATAAATTTTATAAAATTTTCATTGAGAATTTCTAAAGTAAATCTTTAAACTGTGTATCGAAAGGCATGTAAACAAAAATCCAGGTATATATAAGAATAATCTAGCTACAAATGCCTTTTCGGATTGCCAGAGGAAATAGTTTTCAAAAAGCTCTGAACACCTTTTCTTTCTTGTTACCTTTTTTACTTTGTATTCATCTATACTTTTTTCACTATTTCTCTTTCCTTTGTTTTTTTTTTTTTTTTTTACAGCTATATGCCAAAGTCTTTCACCACATAGCGCATATGACCGGTGTCCATGCCCGTGTCTCTTTGTCTGTGAAATTTACCAATAGGTGTTTTCAACTTTTGACTGGAGAAGCAAGAAAATTTCAAGAAGTTGGCATTTGATGTAGGACCCAACCCCTGTAGCACCAGAATTTGATGTTTTGATGATTGAGGTCCAATTTGTTCTAAATCCCAAAACGTGGCTTACATCAACCATAAACCAATACAGTTAATCTTGGTTTTAGCTTCTTCTTACTTTTTCCCATCGCATCCCATCTGCTCTCTTTATTCTCACTCTTTATTATCTATTAATGCAGCACTTCAAAGTTGAAACTTTTTGGTTCTAGAATTGTGTTCTTTAATACAGTTATTTCTAGTTGAGGACTTGAAAGTGGTGGAGCTTATTCTTCCATGTGTTTTGCTGGTTGGTAAAGTTTTCTCCTTTTTCTCATTAGTACAAAATTGACTTTGGAAGTTAATGTTGTACTATTTATCAAGTGCTAGGGTACCTGTTTTTGCTTTGTGGGTTTGGCTTTTGCCTGAGTATTAAATGGTTTTCTTTAATGGGTTTCATTTTCAGTTGTTTAAGGAGAAGTTCTAAGGTAAAGCTTGCTGTGGGAACAGAGTTGAAGTGGGTTTTCGTTTGTGAATCCAGTTTCTGAGGTAAGAAAGATTCACACTTGCATCCCTGTTTTGTTTATTAGTGTTGATTGATGAAAGTTTGGAACTTTATTGTGTTTGGTTGAGAAATGTTTGATTGGTGGGAAGCTGAGGCTTCTTAAATTAAATTTGCTACTCCATATTTAACATGAAGTTGCTGTTTAGAGTCTTAATAAGAAGTAAAGCAATAGGGCTCCTTCGATTGGTTGTATTTTCTGTTTATATTTGCAGTCCGATATTAATTACATGCAATTGCAATTCTTTTATACGTTCTGTATAGCTCTAAATATCACCAACCACCCCCAACCTCTTAACTGTCTGTTTTGTTTTTGTTGTTTGGGGGGGAAAGTTTACGTTTGTTTTATTGAGGTCTGTTTATTGTTTCTACTTTTGCTTGTTTCTCATACTGGACTTGTGGTTCCTTTGTTCTGGTTGATGTGTTTTTTGATTGTCCTGAGTTGGTTCTTGATACCCGGATCTATTACAAGTTTTGCCTTTGCTTTCTAGTCTTTTATTTCAATTTTATACTGCATTTGTTCTGACCTTGTGAAAGAGTTCTGACATTTCAATGATGTTTTTACCTAATTTGCTAGGTATTTTCTGCTGAAATCAAGGTTGACCGTTGGGCAATTAGCCCTCTATTTCTGAATCAGAAGTATACACTAGCTCTTGTACCAAAATTTCTTGAGGGTTGAATCATAAAAAGAGATTGCAGCTTTCTTGGCTTTGACAAAATTATGCTCTTTGTCCTTCCTTTTCTCTAATTTGATAGCTGATGCTAGTTACAGCATAAAAAATTTGTATCCATCCTCTACTCATTTCTTAAATTAATTTTGGCACTTCATAAAATAATCATGTGGTGCTACTTGATTTCCAGATTATCAGTTGCACATCATCAAGGTTGAGGCTGAGTTGTTTTCCACTTGATGCTTGAACTTGGCACCTAAATTGAAATTAGATTAGGACATTTGAGCGCAGTAGATGTTTTCAACTCGATTACAAGCAGAAAATGAGAAGCAAAGATGTCCTGGAGAAAGATGACCTGGAGGAAGAAGATTCATTGCAGTCTGTGAGCAAGAGTAGAGACTCAGCAGAAGGGATTACTTTGTCTGAAGATTTCCTGCCAAAGAAAGAGTCTGACCACATAGTTGTTCTAAGCATATCGGGAAGAAATAGTTGCAGTAGGCAGTGGTTCTTCCAAAAGCTCTATGGTCTAGATAATGCAATTCCGAAGCACATTATAACTTTTGATGAAAAATACCTTCGTCGCTGTCTGGAATGGATGCATATCAGTGCGTTTGGAGTATTTTCATGCAATTTTTCGTCTATTGGGGTCTTTCACAATGACTTAAGTTCAAGAGGAATTAGTAGTAGACGTGCATATGATATGGCTAGGTTAGTTATTGAACATCCATTGGCTCTTTTAACAGATAGTGTTGCAATAAGTTCTGCAGGAGAAAGGATTCTGGGCACAATCTCTGCCAGCAAGAGCATGATAAACATTTTGAGGAGCCCGTTGCTTCATCAGTTGGGAGCCCTCGATTCTAATGCCAGCAATGGAGGAAGAGGTCTAGTGGACATCAAAGAAGCAGTTGCTTCTGATTTTATTAGCTCTCCTGTTAAATTCAATACCAGTAAGCCTAATAAACTAAAGGACGTGGTGCTTGGAGACAATGAATATGGATCTGAGCCAGTGCACAAGAGACTGGCTTCTGTATCAAGCACAAATTCTACCAGCTCTGATCAGTCTTCTTTCTCTGCATCAGCTGCTATTTTCCAAGGAATGCTGCAGTGCACGTGGAAGGATGGATGCCCCAATTATCTTTTCTCTGTGGATGATCAAGGGGAGGTTTACGCTGCCAACTTACTGAAGATCCAGTCACCAGAGGACAAGTCTCTCGACTATATTTACTCATTTCATTTAAAATCAGGTCCCAAGAGAGACCTGAATATTCGGGATAGAGAGTTAGATCTTGTTGCTAAGATGAAAGTGTCTACTTCAATTACATTGTGCCCCAGGAATTCAGAAATCATGGAGACACAATTTGTTTTGTTTGGTTCCAGTGAAAGTTGGATGCAAGAGACCCAAACCTCAGTTAGTGTTCTTAAAAAGAACAAAGGGCTGACAAAGAAGGTAGCAGATGTTTTCAGGACAAGCCAGTCTCGTAAGCAAAGAACGTCTTCAAAGTTATGGGGAACGAGTATTATCCTTGAAGACACATCCTGGGAGTCTTCTGATGATCTATGTGACAATTTTGATCAGAGTCCGGCCAATCTTCTGGAAAATGACGTTCCACCAAATCTTGAGTTGGCTGCCATAGTTGTGAAGGACCATATACCTCACAAACCTGAGGAGCCAGAAATTGGTGGTTGGGGTTTGAAATTTCTGAGGAAATCTGGCAACATCCAGACTGATGCAGTTTCAGAAAATTCATCAATTTCAGAATGTGGCCAACGAGATGGTGGAGAATGCTCAACAAGCATGAATATTCTAGTTCCAGCAGGTTTTCACGGTGGACCAAGAGCCAGGAAAGGCGGGCCATCAAGCCTCTTGGAGAGATGGCACTCCGGTGGGCATTGTGAATGCGGAGGTTGGGATATTGGGTGCCCGCTCACTGTAATCAGTACAAGAACAAACAGAAATGAGAATCTGCCCCATTCAGATAATTCTGGAGAGTGCAAGACAGTTGACTTCTTTGTAGAGGTATGCCAAGTTTCTTCCTTGTTCTCTGGTTGTCTTTCTTTTATCCCATTTGTATTATTCAAAAATTTTAGTTCTGCCAATGGCTCGTGCCTATCTAAGCAGAACTCATATCATTCTTCCATGAGGAACTCAGACAGATGCTTTCTTTTGCTTTACTAAGCCTAATTGGTCAAGGAGAAATGAAAAGGAAGGAAACTTCCTGCAACACAGCCATGCGTTCACAGATGAAGAATCAGGATAACTTTTTCCCCTTTGAATTTTGCAGGGTTCCCGGCAAATTTCACCTATCATGAAAATGACAAACATTCATGATGGCTTATACTATATTCATTTCCAGTCGACTCTGTCAGCCCTCCAGTCTTTCTCAATTGCTGCAGCAATTATTCATAGTAATAGTCCTTCGCTTCGACCCAAATTGTACAGGAGTTGAAACCACATAATTCAGGATTCAGGATTAATGTAGTTCCATCTCTCAAATCATATCAAAGTTCGTAGTTTGTAGTTAACATAGTATACATAATGTTGAGGTACCAAGTTTGATTGTCATGGTTCTGGCTTTTGTGCTGTCCTGCTGTATTTGTAGTTGAGGCTACTAAACTCAAACTGTATCTAAACTATCTGCTGCTGCCAACAGGAAAAAAAAAAAAAGAAAAAAAGAAAGGGAAACAGAATTCTTGATATGTTTTAACAATTCTGTAGGTAAGTACTTGCTCTAGTTGTGGTCTGTTATGCTATGATCTCCGCATGTTTTGCTTTTACTACCAAATGGATATGAAATTTCTGAGTGCTTCCAAGTTTTCTGGTGAGTTGACAAAACACAGTTTGTAGCTAAGGGCCAATGGTTTGTACACATAAATTTGAATGGTTATCTACCACTTTTATGGGTTTGTTGTCAAAAGATTTATGATTGGGCATTACAAGGGGAAGGGGAGTACTCCAAAGCTTAAAATGTCCCCTAAAACTTGAAAGAAAATAAATTTGGTCTCTCAAGTTTCAATTTGATCATAGTGGTCCCCGAACTTTGACAAAAACAAAATTTGGATCCTAATATTTTCAATTGTGACACGATCGGAGAATTAAAGACAAATGGCCAACTCAAAGATCAGGGGTCGTGTAAACTTATGTTGAAAAATTAAACTACAAAGCTTAGAATTGTCCCTGCAAATCACTTTGCATCTGTAGTCAAACATCCAATTTCTCTACAACATCTACATATTGAATTTGGAATTTACATTACCATCCAATAAAACATTCAATTTCTCTAAAACATCTACAATTCTGAATCTGAATTTCAACATTACCCTAGAAAGTACTAAAATGTACAAGGAATGAGTCCACAAATAAATTTTAAAATTAACAAATTTTTATTTTATAGTTAAAAGAACATCTTTATTGCTTTTGCCTAACTGAAAAACAAATTAGCCATTCATTGTGCGTCACTTGAAATAGTAATATTGTTCAATGCAACTTTTAATGAAAGTATGATATTTTATTTTTTAAAAAAATCATACGTCTTTACGTCGCATAAATTAAATGCGTAACTTGTACCGATAACATTAAAACTTGTACAAGATGTAGATTTAGCATACATCTCTGCCTTTGTAACATCAATTTAAGATCTGACACAAGTCTATTCATATTCTTGTCTATCTCTTCTCTTCTTTTCTCTCCAATTTTCTTGACTTCAAAGAAAAGTCTCTCACTTCAACTCCAAGTGGGGTAAGCTCCTATCCCTCCTTCATCCTATAATATTAATGTTTTTTACTTGTGATTTGTGCAAAAATGTATAGTCAAAATCTCAGATTTAGGGTTTTAGAGTATGCTTTAGGCCCTTGAACTAATCAGTGCTACTTCTTGTTGAACTCTATTATCAATTATTGAGCTAAAACCTGGACAAAAATGGATAACTCGTAGTGCGGGCTCTGCTTTCTACAAGAAATTGCTTGATTTTTCTTTATATTATCAGTGAGTATTTTATGCTTAGAAATCATTATTTAAATGGGCAAGTCAAACCCATATTCTTAAGTAATCCCGGAACCCCTGTTTCCAGAAAGCTGGCATATAAAAATGGTAATTTTATAAATATTATTGATGGGTTTTTTTGGTCGAAGGGTTTAGTAAAGGGAACTTTGATCGTAGAATTTTATTGGGTTTTTGGTTTTTGAATATTTCTTCCTTTTGGGATTTTTAACGTGCTATTTATTTTGGCAAATTCTTTGGGTCATTTTCCTCTTCTCTTATAAAAAAGGGTTTTTTCTTTTAGTTAACTTGTATCCTTTTTTAATGTTTTCTTTTCGTTTATGCCACAAAGAAAATGGGTCGTTTCGTTTAAGTTGATTTCTATCCTTAACTTTTTCCTTTTTGGGGAGTGTCTCGTTCAATTTTGTAGATTTGGTAAAAATGTTTCTTCAAAATGAGGTAGTTTTTGTTTATTCATTTATTCTGTTGGTGGGTTCTAAAGGTATGCTTCCTGTCATGAAATAATACAAGGGAGAAAAAAAAATTAGTCGAAATTATTTAGTTCTTGTAGTGATTGTGGTGACGCTTGACTAGTTCGAGTTCGAGTTCGAATAACAGAGTGTTCTTCAAATTGAGTTACAGGACCGTTTGAGCTCCAGTTTCGAATATGTACTAAGCAGCATCAAAAACGGCGGTAGCTTAACTTGACTAGATTGCAGTCCTATTAAATAGAATAATTCATAGTTGAACCAGAGGTCAATTGGAACCAGATATGTTGAATATCTCTAGTATTTTGTCATTTTTCTTGTAGCTAACTGGCTGAGTATGCAGCTGACACCTGAATAGGTTCATTGCTGAATTATGCTATATGAGTGGGCACTTGATGAGATGTGTATATCCTTAGTTAACCAGATAAAAAAGTAAATTGATTCACTTTGATTAGTAATTTTATTTGAAGAAAAAACTGAAGCTTTATGAACTGTGGCTAAAAGACATTAAAATTGCTAGCTGAATTGCTGATCTTATAGCCAGCAGAGTTAAATAGGAGTCGCATAAAGATGATAATCAAGGGAGGGGATCGTGTAGTGAACTTCATGCTCTATTTCGACATTGGTTTGTTCATGTTTGGAAAAACTCAACCATTACCAAACTATTTGGATGTAACAATCTCTGTGTTTCCTTTGTCGAATTGTAATTAAACTTGTAACTTGAGGCGAATCTGCTAATGTTATCAACTTTTAGAGTTTGTCGACTCCATATATCACTACATATATTTATTTTGTCAATTTTAGTTCCAAAATAGCTGCTAGAAGTCATCGATTTTAGTTGTGTGGCCCTTTCTTAATAAATAGTTTATCCTAGTTTTGTTGATTTTCTGGAGCTGAAGTGTCAATTTGGACGAGGTTGGCACTTATGCTTTTAGGAAGATTAAAATTTATATTTGTTGTAAGAGATTTAAATTTTCCTAAGCATGGATTTCTGGTTTAGATCAGACGTGGATCATAACTTTCTCTGATTGTAACTCGAGTTGTGGTGCTAATGGTTTGGGTTTGGGTCGATAGTAAGGCTGCTAGCAGTTCAATGTGCCAAGGGAAATATAATACAGCACTCCACTTCCACTGTCATTGTTAATCTTCTAATTGTTCTAATTCTTAACCTGTTTATTACTCAGCTTAGTACCGTTACTTTTTTGCTTTTCTGTGTTATTAACTATGTTCAGAATCATCATTTTGATTGGAAATTGTAATTGTGCTATCATTATTTTCTTTTGCATTAGTCCCTGGATGCAAATCCTTTAGTTGCATCCAACTGAAGTGTTGCTTGTATTGTTTGTGTAGTTTTTGAAGCTTGACATTTGTTGTAGGGCTGGAAACTAGAGCCTTTTCTGCAGTCAATGTAGAAATCCTGAATTACAAACTTATGGCGCCAAATCCTAAGTTTGGAAAGGCTTACAAGGCTATGAGAGCTCTCGGCTATCCTCAGCATATTGTAAAACCTGTATTAAAGAGTCTTTTGGACGTGTATAACCAAAATTGGCAGCATATTGAGGATCAGAACTATACTGTTCTGGTGGATGCTATTCTTGAGAGTGAGGAATGCAAGGTTTAACCGTCTTTATTGCATTTACAAATCCTTTGATAACTTGAGTGCTTGTCATATCAGGCTGTCCACATAGTTGTCATACATTTGCTCAACCCCTTGTATCAGTTGAGGAGAAAAAGTTTGCCAAATAACTAAGTTTTGGATATGCAATCTATGTACTTCTGGTACATCCATTCAAAGTTGACACGCCATAAGCTATGATATTTATGCTTATTATTAATGGTTTTATTCTCGAGACAGGAAAAGGAACAGCAGAAATTCCACTTAGTAGATGAGCCAGAAGAGGATGAGCCACCATTGAAAAAGTCAAGATTGAGAAGTCAAGCTGTTCAAGCTTTGTCTTCTCCTGGTGATTCCAGCCCAAGTTTTAAAGGAACTATGGATAAGCCAGTTCATCATGTTGAATATGTAATTCCTGAATCTAATGCGAAGGAAAAGATGATTGAGTCAGTTCATGTTCATCTCTTTGATAATGAAACAGAAGCCAAGGTCCTGTCTCGGGTGCCACATTATCGAGGAGAAGTGAAAACCAGTACTCCAAATTCTTCTTCAGGACCAAAACCGAAAACGAAAATTCAAGTGCCGGCTCATCATAAAACCAATGAGTCTGATTTGCCCTCGCCAGGAACACAACTCAATGAGAATTGTGATGCTTACACCTCCTGTTCAATCGTTCCCAGAATGGTAAATGAAACAGGCAAGCATACTGTTTCCTAGGGAGAGAACAGTGTTTTACATGATAGTAATCTTTTAACCAGACAAATATGCTTATGGAAAATTATTCCATTATTCCAGGTAAAAAAGAGCTGTTGCCTGATGACCTATCAGAGCTTGAGGTTCCTCTCTCTGTAGTTCTTCCTGGTAATTCTTCCTGCCTTCAGTTACTTTGACATATATTAAAATAGAAAGCATTGACTGAATGCATAAGGTATGAAACACTTCAGGAGTACAGAGTTCCTCTGCATGCACTAGTTGCTTAAAAGTAGGCATCCTTGATTCGCTGGCAGACAAACACGCAAGGAATAAAAATTAATTGGAAAGTGACATATTAAGTGGAAAGGGAGAAAACGAGAACTTAGAAATAGTAAATAGGTAAGGAAGATAAATGTTAGATTGAAAAAGAGATACTAAGAAAAGTGTAAGACTGATTCATCTCAAATTTTTTTGTCATTGCTCCAGGAAATATGAACAGTAAGATAACTGCTATATGTCCAATGTCACTAACCACTTGATATATCTTTCATTGCTTGTAATCTTTTCTAATTGTGTCTTTTTGTGTAAATTGACTTTATCTTGTGTCCACGTCCTGATAATGTGAAGTTGTTGACTCAAGGTGATTCTTCTAATGCAAAAGTACATATTTCAACATCCCTTGAAGTTATTGATCTCGACATGGAAGATACAAGTAAGATAATATTTCCTATTTGAGGCAGACAAGAATTTAATACAAGTAAATAGGTAAGGAAGAGAATTGTCAGGATGAAAGAGAGAATAAGATAAGTGTAAGAATTTTCACTTTGCAAAGAAAGAGAATCTCAAATTTTGTGGCATCTTCCTGGAAATATGTGAACAACAAAGATAACTGCTCTATGTACAATGAATGTCATTAAACACCCGATTTATCTTTCATTGCCTCTAATCTTCTCTACTTGTATCCTTTTGTATAAATTGATTTTACTTTGTCTCCATGTCCAGATAATGTCGAATTGTTGACTCAAGGTGATTCTTCTAATGCAAAAGAACATTTTTCAACATCACTTGAACTGATTGATCTTGACATGGAAGATCCATGTAAGAAATTGTTTCCTTTTTGAGGCAGAATTTATATGTCATTTTATTAGCCTTATTTTATAGTCTCAAAATAATGAGGTACATTGTTAACTTTTTACGCAAGTTATGTTTGAGAATTAACATCCCACAACTCCAAGAAGGAGCATTCTCTAAGTGGAACTCCTGAGTTGCATAATATGACACACATGTACTTGCACAATGATATGCTATTTACAGCATCGTTGCATGTTGGCTTCCTTTTCCAAACATAACCTTATTTTGGAATGTGAAATGGAAAGGTTCTCCCTCATTAATCCAGTACATACTGTTCTTGAGTCAATTTAAGTTACTTGTGATAATCTGATACTTTCACCTTAGTGATTTAGCAATGTGGTGCTTTTGATGTATGCTTTATCTGTACTCTTTTTAGCTGCATTCTCTCTATGTTATGAAGATGAATCTTCAAGTGGAAAGGATTCTCTTCCTCAAGGAAACCGTCTGGAATATCAATGTTCAGTTGCAACAAAAGAGGAAAATAAATCCTCAACCTCTTCACAAATAGACATTGCTTCTTCTTCCAGCGGGGAGGTTAAACTTTCTATAATCTATGAATCTTCCCTTCCATCAAATTTTTGTATTCCAAGTTTAGATGCCCTCTTTAGGCGGATGGAGGAAAAGCTTCATAAATCATACAGAATCAATCAACCTGGTTTCTCTGTGATGAATCTGATGAAAGATATATGTGAGGGCTTTTTAGCAGTGGGGACCAACACCACTCTTGATGAAGGAGTAAGTTCTGCTGATGTACATGCCAATCCAGTTGCTCCTAGAATTTTAGATACTCAAGATGTTTTAAATGGGAATGTCAGTCATCAAGTTGGTTTTTGCGTTGCGCCGAGTATTTCACTGGGGCCTGTAGAGTTTCAAAGCCTAAATGAAGCCCCACCCAAGATTCCAAAGTTTCAAAGTTTGAATTGTTTTGACTTAAGCCGCTGCAAGATAGATTTAACCATGCAGGGGTCCTACAGTGAATGGAACAAAAACAGTCTAGCACTTGGAGACCAAAAATCTTCAACTTCAAGCAGTATGGTGATTGTTCAGGCGCAACATTTTTCTAATGAAATGCTCAGTTCTGCTTATTATATTGATGATATTACAAGAGGGGAAGAGGATTTGGAGATTTCATTGATAAATGAAATTAACAATGAGCATCAGCCTATTTTTAAGTACATTCCCAGAAACATCACTTATCAAAGTGCGTATGTTAAATTTCTTCTTGCTCGTATATCTGATGAGAATTGCTGTTCCAATTGCTTTGGAGATTGTTTATCTTCCAAAATCCCTTGTGCTTGTGCTGGTGAAACTGGTGGTGAGTTTGCTTACATGCCAGGGGGTACTCTTAAAGAAAAGTTTCTTGAAGACTGTATGTTGATGAATCAGAGTCCCCAGCAGAAAAATCTTTTCTACTGTCAAGAGTGTCCACTAGAAAGGTCCAAGGATAAAAACTTATCTGGAAAATGCAAGGGCCATCTAGTCAGGAAGTTTATAAAAGAGTGCTGGTATAAATGTGGTTGTATTAAGGATTGTGGCAATCGTGTTGTTCAGCGAGGCATAACACGCAAATTGCAGGTTAGACATGTTAATGACATAACAGTCTTACTGTTATGCTGATATAAAACTTGTGCTGCATATTGTCATCCGCTATGTTATGTATGTTACTTAATCTAGATCATGATTATGCTTTTATCGGTGATTGAGATATCAATGCTTCCTATGTTCAGGTGTTTATGACACCCGAAGGAAAAGGATGGGGTCTTAGAACCCTTGAGGACTTGCCTAAAGGTGCCTTTATTTGCGAGTATGTGGGAGAAATAGTGACCAACATGGAACTTTTTGACCGAAATTCACAAAACACTGGAAAGAAGCACACATATCCTGTGCTACTCGATGCAGACTGGTGTACTGAAGGAGTCCTGAAGGATGAGGAAGCCCTTTGTTTGGACGCTACCTTTTATGGAAATGTTGCTAGATTTGTCAATCACAGGTGTACTATATAAGGGCTTAAGTGTTTCTGGCAATGCTTCTGTTGTACTAATAGTCTCTGTCAAAGGATCTTTGTTTTCTCTGAGTTGTAGTAAATTTAGCTTTCTTGGTTTAATTGATAAACCTTATATTCCTTGGTTCCTTTACTATGACAAAGTATATTAAAATTTTTAATGACTAAAACAGAATAAAGTGTTAAGGTCCACATCTAAGTTGATACTCTTATCAATGTTTGGTCAGCATAGGTTGCACTGTTGGAAGATAAAAGATATGAGACTAATTTTCAACAGCAGGACCCTAGTGCAACTTTCTTGTTTTTAAGTTTGTCTTTGATTGTTTTTCCACTATCTTGAATGTATTGATGGTCTGCATGTAGTTAGTTCTGGAGGCTTTAAGCTAATTTTCTGGTTTAGTCATATGAGGCTGAGTCTCTTTTATATTTTTGCCTATCTGTGTATAGCAGTATTTATATTTCTTTCTTTTGTTTAGATGTGACGATGCAAACTTGGTTGAGATTCCAGTTGAAGTGGAGACTCCAGATCATCACTATTACCATGTATAGTTTATGTAGCTTTGTCTTAAAACATTTTCTCTTTGAATATATGCCTAAATATGGTATATTCAAGGAAGTTAACAGCCGGAATTCTCTACCTTTCCTACAACCTGCAGCTTGCTTTTTTCACGACAAGGAAAGTTGATGCTTTTGAAGAGTTGACATGGGTAAGTATGCTACCACAACTTTGTATCTTTGTCATAAGATGGTCTTAGAATCTATTATGGTAAAAAGATGCAAGGCACCTGTCAATTGAAATGGGTAAATGATGTCCCAAAACAGAATCTTGTTCTTTGTGCCTTTTGTCTGTCCATCTTGTTCAAATTTTCAAAAGCAGTGGTACTGTAGATGTATGGAGAAGAATCCAAAACCCAAAAGAGTGGCGAGTCGAGTGTTCTCGTAAAATTTTTCATCAAATCTCAGTTATAAAGTAGTTTCCTGGCATGGGTCACATCGTAAAACTGCCCTTAAGTTTTAGCCCATTTATGCTCATTTACATTCATATTCAACAATCATGAAACAAGTTTTTCTGCGTGTTGCAGGACTATGGCATTGACTTCTGTGATCATACTCATCCGGTGAAGGCTTTCAAATGTTGCTGTGGTAGTCAATTCTGCCGAGACAAGAAATATTTGAAAAGTAGGTGTGCCTTCTCATCTCTTGTCATCTTTATATGCTTCAGTAGGTTGACACGTAATGGTGGTCGTTTAGAGGTTACAATTACCTGAATGATATTTTGGGATTTTAACAACAATTGCTCTCTTCAGTAGGTTCACATAATAAGAGCAAGAGATGAGTTGGTGCCAGATTTTTTTTGCTTTGGAAGGAAAACTGAAAAGTCATTTCAATGTCCTTTGGGCATCATGAAGATAACATGTGAGATAGTGTCTTTTATCGAATCAAATGAAATATTTCATTTAGGGACTTGAGTAGAAACTGTAAGAAGAGACTGTAATAAGCACGTGTGCCTAAATGTATTAGCTCTTTGTATGGATAAATGATGTGGCTTAGATCAAAATTTCCAGTTTTTTCGTACGTGACAAACTTCAGCAGATTTCAGCTTGGCATTTGATCTACAAATTTTTTCTACAGAATGCTGTATAGTTGTTTGTTAGCTATGAGGGATGTCCTATGCCTCTATTCTCTATAAATGATGTCTCCAGTAGTAGAACCACAGCCTATTTTCAGAACTTTTAGTCTCACCATTTAAACTGTGAAGATTGTGGCCGCAAGAGGACATCAGAAAGTCAATGTTGTTGTTGGGTTGTATGATGTCTTTATAGGTAAGGATTGGAACTTTTGTTCTTTTTGACCAACTAGAATCAGGTGCTAAACTTACAAGGGTTGCTAGAGTGACTTTGTGAGCTCTGAGCACCTGACTTTGAATTCAACCTGATTTTGGTAAACAAGATACGATCACTTAATTTTCCATCTATATTTTGTGGAATTGTTTGATCTTGTTGTCTCTGTTACAGTTGATGCAAAATGGTTTGCTTTTCCATGCTAACTGTTCCATAAATCATGAAAGGTGCTGTGACCAGAAAACTCTTAAGCAGAAAATCTTCCTATTATTTTTGTGATTTAATAGTTAGAAATTCATTAAGCTCGAAACTTTCATGTTATAGCAGCGTTGGTGAAGTTCAGCTTCCTGTGAATTTACTGGATTTCCCCCCAAATTTTGAGAAAACTAAATGTTTTGTTTGTTTAGTAATAAAGCTGTACTAACCAAACTGAGACACTATTTGGTTTTCTAGGAAAGCAAATGTAAATCTTCTTTTCTTATATGGCTTTGTATCCTGTTAAAAGTTTGAAAAAGCCGACTTAAACTGTTCTGAAGTATTACTATTAGTTAAAGACTCAAAAGTCATGTTTGAAACAAGTTCTGAGTCTTAAACTGTTCTTAATGTAGACACTTGTAAATGTTATTACACGACAATGGTACTAGTCTTAGATTACATGTTCACTTTACTAGTTAATAACAAGTCATTAGAAGTTGTGTTATAATGTTTTAATTGTTATGCAGTGTAACTTTCATATATTATTTCTTTTCGTTGTTGGATCAGTTAGTTGTAGAAAAATGAGGAATTCAGTAATTGCATGAACTGCTCAAATTGAACTGCAGAATGCAAACGCACTTTTAATGCATTACTCATCTTGATTTTTGGCTCTATTTACCGGCAAGTAATACTGCCAGAATGCTCAACCATTCTTGTTTCTCTTGTCTGATTCCAACATAGTACCTATAGATTTCTTATCAGTATATATTTCTGGCAACAACTGAACTGATAGTTGCATCAGTTTAAGTTACTGGTTACCTCACCTGAGTTTTTTCCCATCAGTTAAAAGAGCCTTTCTGGCCTTCTACTTAAATGCTTTCCGTAGAGCTAATCCAACTCTTCAATTTTATGGTACTTTCTTTGTATGACTGACTGACTGACTCACTCATTGTCTCTCTCATTAGGTGTTAGATCCCGCGGATAATTCTCAGAGAATGAAGCTGGAAAAGGGTGTCCATGCTTCGATATTCTGTGTTGCAATCTTTTTTGCTTGTTTTTAAGGTGGTCTATGCTAATTAAGAGATCAATTGCATGTAGTGTTATGCACCATACTTAGTCATACTTCTGTCAAATTCTCAACAGTGGCAAGGGATAACGGATGTAGTTGGCGTGCGTAGTACAGAATTGGTTGATTAAAAGAATTTCCATGTTGAGATCTACAATTTACAGCACTCTATGACTCTGTACAAACACATATGGTTTCAGTTGCTAAAGTTTATTGGTTTAAGGGCGCATACAGTTATGTACAATACATCTGTCCTTTTTGTCAAGATCTTTTTTCTGAGCATTATTTTACATTGGCTGTAGCTATCAGATAACGGATTAGGGCCTCACACGCGGGGAGTTCTATCCAATTCAAATTGTTTGCGTATTTCTTACTATTTTTGGTGTAAAATTTATACTATGCTTTTAGCGTAATCAATGACTTGGTTAAAGGAGTTGATCAGTTCAAATTTACACCAAAATTTAAGGGACCAAATCTGGTCAATGGAGAAGGGGGAGAGGTAGCAGAAGGGGTGGGAGAGAGGAGGGCGGTAGCGGGAAATTAAGGGGGAGAGAGAGAGAGAGAGAGAGAGGGGAGGAAGAGGTGGAAGAGGATGAGGAAGGGGGAAAGAGAAGGAAGAGGAGGGAGATGGTGTCGTGGAGAGGGAGAGAAGAAAAAAGGGATGTGGTTGTGGTGCTGGTCGGGAGAGGGAAAGAAGGTGGTGGTGAGGAGAGAAAGGGGGTTGTGGATTTCTCGTGACAAAGGAAAAATATATAAAGCAAAAGAAAGAATTAAAATAGGAATTTGGGACAAAAAAAATGGAGTAATATTTCGATAAAATACATTTTTTAATCTCGTGAATATCACTTTTATAAGTAACGAGCGTGTTATCGATTAAATTTCAAATTAGTTTGAATCATAAAGGGATATTACAAACATTATTCAAACTAATTTGAAAAGTTTGTTATTAATTAAATTCCATATTAGTTTGAATTACGAGAGGTACTACAAACATTTTTGAACGTTAAGAGGACATCCTAACTTTCAACCATAGCGTTTTTATGGATTTTATCCAGAAAAATATAGCTACCAATCTCAACCATGCCTGCTTGAATCCACTTTGGGATCAGAGAAGTTAAAATATATGGTTTAAAAAAAACGATTCCAAGTCAATAGGTCTCATGACACGTGAGTGAGAGTTGGCACAAGGGCTAGATTGAAAAAAAGAAGAAGATATATTCCTTAGAAAATAATCGCATGACCTTATATAGAATTACAGAAATTTGGCAGAAGCTTTTTATGGTTATAAATTTTAGAACTTATTTGACGATGTGATGGTGTCAATGAACCTTGCTAGATGATGCTATCTGCCGGCTTTCTGCTATGCGTGTTATCATGTCTTCTGTAAAAATATGGTAATCATCTTCTTTCTAACCTAAGATACTGGATGAATGTACATCTAAACGGAGCGACATGCATCTCTAATCCAAATAGCTTTCTACACTCCAAAAAACATGTCTGAGCTTCTGCAAGTTTCCCTTCTCCAATGAACAGAAAGTAAAAAGAAAAAGGCGAAAATTGAATGAGTGTACCTCTATAGCCATAGTTTAGGCATAAAGAAATAATCATTATGCATAGAGACAACAGAAATCAACTGGAAGCAATAACAGAGCCAAGAGCATTTTACATCTGATAAAGGAGAGAAGCATAAGCATAATACTATTTTAGACCAAAAAATGAGAGATTGTATGGCCAACATTATTCATGCAAAGAAGAGCCTAATCCACACTGAATGAAGAGCTTGTCACAGGAAATGAGCTCATTTACTATTACATAGAAATACAACAACAGAAATTCAGAATACAGCTTCCATAAGTGAAAGTCTTTTGACATGATAAAGTTCAAATTAACAATTGAAAACTCATTTAACCAATGGCAAAATATTGAAGCAGGGCATTTGGTGAGTGATGTGAAGACTACGGTGCAAGAAAGAAGCCTTTCCTCAAGAACAGGGATTGGCTGGTGCAACTCTCGTTTAGGTAAACATCCTCCTTCAATTCGTTTCTTGGAGTCCAGAGTGAACGTCTGACAGTGTCTGGAGCTTGAGCTTGACTGATATCCATCTTTCTTCTCTGGTCTGACTTTTGAGAAGAGCATACCTAGGCCATGCCACAATGTTGGAGCAGGGCACAAGCAAGTTAAAGTGGAGATGAAAGTTCACAATTTTGGTACATTTTCTCAACTGGGATCATTGGAGGTAAACATCTCTTTCCCTTTCAGTTTCTGGTATGCATGCAAAACTTCCGATTAGGTTTGGACTATGACTTGAACTTGAAGCCCGAGATTCGGTGATTCTGCCATCAAAGGAATTGTTTTGCTGCAAAATAAAAAACCAATAAATAAATAAATAAAAGAGGTTAGGATGTCTAATCTGACAACATCTCTATTAGACTTATAACATTATCCAAGGAATGCTCTCAAGTCATACAAGCTGTTTCTGGGATTGCGATTCAATCGTAGTTAGTGTTATTGTTTCTGGGAATTCCTGTACTGCTAGCTGCAATGTGGAGTATTAAACACAGTAAACTAGCTTGTTACTCTATATTCCAAGCTTGAATATAAGACTGAAGAGGCACAGGAAAATTTTGAGTCTGTGCTAGTTTATTTTGGTCCTGAAATTGAAGATTCAAAAAAACCCAAAAAAGGTATGTGATATCATAGGTGTTTAGGACTGCTTTTATATAGAAGTAAAATTTTATTGACCTAAAAACTGAATCTAGAGGGATTCAAAAAGGAGGCCTTCTCTGAAGTATCAACTACAGTGACAGCTAGTGCAATGTATCCAACTGTACATTACTTCCATCTTGTATTAACTTAGTCTAAGAATGAATATTTACTAGTGTGTTTGGCATCGAGAAGTCCTACCTGTAGCAACAAATTTTCTTGAAGGATGAAAGATTTGACATGTAAATAAAATCCACGGGGAGATGGTGAAGGATTACCTGACTTGCTGAATTGGTGGGCTCAAGCCAAGGATCATCACTTCCAAATTCCATGGAACACTTCGAGTTGATTTTGTGAAGATCTTCTCCTCCTGTGCCATTCTTCATTTGTAGCCTGCCTAAGAATTGTTGTGGCATCATGCTGATCTTCAGCTTTCTAAGAGTAATGATACTTCGTAATCCCTCAGGAAGCTTTTTCATTCTCCTGCACATGGAAACCTCTAAAGTAGATAGCTTTTGCAATGCTCCTTTGCCCACCTCCCATTCTTCTAAGTTGTACAACTTGGAGAGCTTTAAACTCCTGAGTTCAGGAAAACCTGTATCAGAACAACGCAATTTCTTTCCTAAACATGCCTCGACTTCTAAGACAAGGATCCTCAGGTTGGGAAGGTTCTCCAGTGTTGGCATAGGGTCGTGATCAAGTTCAGAACCATTTAACACAATCTCAGTAAATCTTCCAGAGATTGTACCAATGTCTGACATTTTTCCTATGTGCCCTTCTATTTGCAGAGTATCAAGAACAGGACAGCTGAATAATCTTTTTATGAGAGACAGCCGTTCCTCAGAGTAACAATCAAACTTTTTAATGTCGAGCGATGTCCTCTTCAAGTGGCTTGAGTTGATGCCTATGCAGCGGATGATGAGCTCCAAGTCCTTGAGGTTTCCTTCCGCAGTTGCTGCTAGAATCCGAAGGTTGGTCAGCTTTATGAGGTCCTCAGCCTTGCACACACTTGTATCCAATCCCTCAAGTATCTCTAGTTCTTTCAAGCTATCTAGTTTCAACATACCATGATGATCAGAAGTTTGAAATGCTAGAGGGAAATACAGATGTCTTAATCGCTTGAGCTTCCAAATGACATTTGAAATGGTCATTATGCAATCTTTTTGAACCCTTAGGTCGAGGGTTTGCAGGTACAAAAAGTTGCCAATATATGATGGTAAATGCTCCAGGTAACATCCTCGAAAACTCAAGTATCTCAAGTGGACTAACTCTCCTACTCCCTCAGGAAGCTTTCCATCCTGAAAACTAACTCTGTCAAAATCCAGAACTCTTAGCAATCTGAGTTTTTTGAAATTAAAAAGTCCCCGTGGCCATCTAGATCCTTGCCCTGATCGTTCAGAGTTGAGGCATAAAAGAGACCGAAGGTTATAAGAGGGGAAAACATCAGATACGTTGTAATATCTATTGAAATATATAGCACATCTTTGTGCCTCTGACCTCATTTGTCGTTGATAATAGGAAGTTCCCTCTCTTTCCATGATCTCAAAAAATTCTACCTCTGCCCCAACCGATATGCAGAGATCTCTTATCAGATCATGAACGTGGCCGGACATGAGCCTTAAGTCTGACACTTCATCTTCTTCCAGAGTTACCAAGCTCCTTACTACCAATTCGTTGAAATATTTTGCTGCAACATCCATCATTGTTTCTTCACTTGCCCTATCCTCAGCTGATATCAGACCTTCAGCAATCCAAAGCTGGCACAACTTCTCTACTTGTATTCTTGAATTGTTTGGGAAGTTTCCCAAATAAAGAAAGCACGCCTTTAGGCGCAGTGGCAAAGCGCAGTAAGCTGACCATAGGTAATCAAGACCTTGAGGACCTCCATACATCCAGCGGCTCTTAGTCTTAGGAAGACTTTGAAGCACCTTAAGCCACTCATCTTCTTTTGCAGTTCTTAACATCCTCGCACATAAAATAATAGCCAATGGTAAGCCTCCGCATCCATCTAATATTTTCTTGGAAATTTGCGCCAGTTCTCCAGTGATCGGACCCTCTGTAGAGAAAACCAGAAGCCAATTAACCAAAAAAAAAAAACCAAGACGTTGACAGCCCAATGATTGTTATGTCTTCTTTAAAAATCTACCAACAGGAACATCTGTAAATTACAATCTTGCCAGCCGGGATTTTGTCCCAACCTTGAATATTTCTTTAAACAATGATAGTAATTAAGCAGCTACTGTTATTGCCATTCCTCATTGGCGCTTATAGAAAACTAGATAAAAAACCATATGAAAATTCGTTTGCAAAATGACGTACCATGATTATATCTTTCTCCTAGTGCTTTCTTTTGAAACAGTTCCCAGCTTTCGTCAAAGGACAAAAGTCGAGGCTCATGGTGAAAAGCATCCATGCGTACCACCACATCTTTATTACGAGTAGTAACCAATATTTTGCTTCCCTTCTCTCTAGTTGGGAAGGCATATTTTATGCATTCCCAAGCATCAAAGGACCAAATGTCATCAAGAACAATCAGACATCTTTTATTCTGCTGGATGTGGT